TTATTCCATTCTTCTCCTACAGTGCATCTGGCTGATGGGTTTGAACTGCTGACTTTGTAGTTTAGAAACCCCATGCCAGAATTAGCCTTGGATTTGTAACACTTATTACTGGACTCCACAATTTTGTTAGGAAATTTTCAGACAGAAATATAAATTGCTTCATATTTTTTCCTTAATTCTGGTACTCATCATTAGTAGCTCCCCAAAATTGCTTCATTTTTAAGATGCCGTTTAAATCTCCTAATATCCCATTTAGTTTAAGTATTGATGATCCATGATTAAACAAAGCAAACTTTCAATTATGTAAATTTGCAAACAAGCATGAAAAATAGAAAGAATATGTAGTCTAAACAATTATCTGTTTTCTGATAATTTGTTCCTCTTTTTTTCTTTTATTTTGCTCAAGTGCTTATAGAACAAATGTCACACATCATATCATTCCCCTAATAAAAATGTAAGGAATAAGCTTTCGAGCAGTCTCCTTGACTGCATTGTGTGTGTATCTCTTTTAAGATTTGTGATGGAACAGGTCAGGGCACTCCCAGATGAATGAAAGCACATTCGGGGTTCCCTTACTACTGGGCACTGTTTTCTTCCCCTCAGGCTGCTCAGGGGAAACTCCACAGCAGCTGAAGAGACAGGACATGTTATAACGATAGTGTGGATGTGAGTATAGAGGGTACTTGTAGGTGAAGAGATAAAAAGCATTTTCTAAAATTCTTAACTTTGAAAATAGGGGCTGGTGTTTTTGCTATCTGCAGTACAATGCAGTCCCAGCCCCCATTACTAATTCAAGAAAATCTTAGTGAACTACCTCTAGAAGGAGAGGTGAGCTAAATACATTGGTCATTATTTGTATTAGCTAATACTAGTACAACAATTGACTTTTGCAGATGTTTCTAGTGTCCTAATATGCCATAGTGGGGCCCTGGCATCCATGGATTGTGGCACTGGGATTAATGCCTTATCCGTTGCTGCCTAACAATTCCCAGAATTTAGTAACTTCCCAGAATTTAGTAACTTAAAGCAGTAACTCTCGTTTTTCACACTTTTCTGCCTTGTTTATCTGAATGATGCTTCTATCCCATGTAGTGTTGGCTAGGCTTCCTCACTCGGTTCCATTAAATTGGGAACTGGGCTGCATGGGCTCAAGCCCTCAGTGACATGCCTAGGGCCTTGTAACTGGCTCTTTGGTTGGACATGTTGGCTCTCCACCTGCCCTCTTCTTACAGCATGGCAGCTGAGTTCCAGGAGATTAAAAGCAGAAAATGTTGGGTCTTATAAAGGCTGGACGTTGGCACAGTGTCATGTCTGCTACCTTCTCTTTGGTTAAAATAAGTCAGTGCTAACTCAGACTAATAGGAAAGAGAAATCAAATCCATCTCCTGAGAGCAAGAGTGGCGTGTGTGCACAGGGATGGGAGGAATTCTTATATTTGCAGACAGACTCCACAGCTGGTAGGGGGAAGGCTAAGGAAGGAATAGTGGTAGCAAGTATAGAAGCAGCGCTAGCCTAGGAGCTACCCACAACAGGAGAACGAGAATTTAGGCTAAGAAAGTAGAGAAACAAATCTGTAGTTCAAGTAATTGAATGATGGATTGTTATAATATCTGAGACCTCCCAATAAAATGTAAAATCTTAAAAAAAGGTAGAGAAACAAGTTGGAGGCACAGAGCCTACACCAAAACAAGGTGAGAAACTAGAAATTAAACATCAGTACAGCAAGCACAATGCACTCATAGATCACTTTCTTATGTGCTTTTCTTGTGTGACGGGGTCTAATGATTAGGCTAGCTTCGGCTGAATGAAGGAGAACATTTCAGAACAACGCAATCAGGATAGCCAGCTGGAGTGTAGAACTAAAGATCAAGGCAGACCATACTGCCTTCTCTTGGTTTCCTGGTCATTGAGAATGCCAAGTCTTTTCTATCTGCTTCCTTTGGGCCACTCCTTATTTTTGACTTCTACACATTGAAATTGTCCATGAAGCCTCATTGAACTAGTCACAGAAAGCCCCCTCATAGTTGGGTTTTATTTTTTTTAAGATACTGATTATTATTAAGAGATTTTTCTCAGTGTAAATCATATTATACAGCAGGTGATGGAACTTTCTGATAAAGTCACCTTTGCCTTTTACCTGAAGGGTAAGCCAGGTTGTTAAGTATTGCCCCTCCGAATGTTGGGGTACAATGGTGAATAAATCATCATCCCTGTCCTCAAAATCTAGGAAGAAACATGTCTCATACATATATCAAAAATCATTGTGCACTGCAGTAGTTGCAATAGATGTCACAGATTGAAAGCAGGTGAGCCTGTCTCGGCTGAGTAGTCATCGGCTTGCTAACACTGAGTACGGTTCAGGGTTATAGAAGTAGGAAGTAGTGTGTCTGAACCACTGTGACTGCTCTAAGAATACAAAGTTCAAAAGTTCAAGCAGTGACCAGAACCTGACCACGGTTGAGCCGTGTGTGTGTGTGTGTGTGTGTGTGTGTGTGTGTGTGTGTGTGTGTGTTTGTTTTGAGGGAGTGGACAGTGATCCATTTACTTTGGATTTACATGCTTGGAGTTATGCTTTTAGTAAAATCAGAGACCCAGAATGTAGGTGACCTGGGGTGGGGGTGGGGGCGTAAAAATTATAGCAGAGAGACCAGATAAGAGGCTTTTGCAATAATCTCAGTAAAGCCTGATGAGTATATGTCTATATTGAGGCAAATATTGCAAGGCTAGAAAGAAGAGGAGGGATTCTAAAGATACTTAGGCAATAGAAAGGATATGGTTTGTTGACCAATTGGTAGGGGAGAGGAGAGCGAGAGTAGTTTGGTGTGATTTCCATACTCTATCTTGGAATGGGCAGATGTTGCTATGGAAAACCAAGCAATGCTAGAAGAGGTGTGGCTTTGTGGGAAGTCTGTGTGAGCATTTGCAAATATGAGATGTATTCTGAAGTTAAGAGACCTCACATTCAAATGTATTGTATCGAGATGCATTTAAAAACAGGACAAATCACGATGAGGGAGAGCAACAGCCTAAGGCTCCAGTGGTGCCCAAAGATTCCCAGAGACATTTCCCTCTCTGGATGGCCTAGGGGGGAGTGATGGTCAGGGCCTGGCTAGTGAAGTGAAAAGGAGTGGGAACGCTGCTGTCGCTGGCCAATGGTGAAAGAGAACTTGGGAGTGTGAGTCTGTGTGAAAACTCAAAGTGGACTGAGGGCTCCCATTGGAAACCACTGCTGTTAGGATTGAAGCTCTAATACTCTGACTGTAACTACAACACTGTCTAGCTTGAGAGCAAGAGTGGCGTATCTAGCTTGCCCCAAAATAATTTAACAATCTTTCTGCATCTTCTCCTCAAATGTCTCATGTTAGGTTCCCTTTCCTTGATCACAAGGGGAAAAACAAAGGACACACAGCAGCAGCAACCGCAACAAACGCTGCATCTGAAATGTTAAGATGTTCAGAAATAAAGTGCATTATTGCCACTTATCCTTTGCTTATGAGTATACGATAGGGCCTAGCGGTGAAGGGGGCCTCAGATACTCTGGGGCATCTCAGTTCTCATTAGTGATGAGTAGAAACATGAAATGGGGACTGGGAAGCTAGAGCCCCTGGTGTCATTTGGCAAATGCCCTGTGGAATGTTTCCTACTTCCCAACCCCGTCCGTCAGTCCATACAGCTAGATTTCATTGATCTTAGCTTTACTGTGTTGTAAATTCTTCCAACTGCATCTTCCTACTTCTAGAGGAAAAACAGGAACTTAAAAAAATACCTGGTGGAAATCTATCCAAAATATTATCTTCTTAGCTTTCAATTAAAATCAAAACAGCAAATGCATGTAAGGGTAGAGTCAACAAGGGTCTTTCTTTTAAAATACTACTTTTTGCTTTAATTAGCAAAGCCAGTTTAAAACCAGAAAATACAGTAAAACCCAACCTTTTAATACTTTGTTAGTATTGAGAGGAGTTTAGCCATTTTATGTGTTTCAAAGTTGATAGGTGATAGAAGAAATGAAATGAAACAGATTATAAATACTAAACTCTTTGTTTCCAGGAAGGGGAAATCTTCTGAATTTAAAGCTCATACTGCCCCTGTTCGAAGTGTGGACTTTTCTGCTGATGGCCAATTTCTAGTTACTGCTTCTGAAGATAAATCTATCAAAGTATGGAACATGTATCGTCAGCGATTCTTATACTCCTTGTACCGCCATACACACTGGGTGCGCTGTGCCAAGTAAGTGCAGACAGTTTTGTTAGAAGATTTCCGGTCCTCCTCTTTCTTCTTCTTTTTTACACTATGGTTTATACTTGGCTGTGCTCCCAGAAAAGACCCAAACCAAACCCACACTCATTACCATCAAGCAGACACATAGCACTGCCCTGTGAATTGTCAACAGTGTAGGTCTCTGCGGGGGACTACACTGTACCAGAGCAGAAAGCCATAAATCCCTTCATTCATTCATCAATTCACCAGTTATTTACAGTGTAACTACGATGTGCTAGAAACACTGTAGTAAACAAAAGTCAAGAACCTTTGCTTTCATGGACCTTCCAGAGAAGGGAGACAGACAATAAGCAAGGAAGAAAATAGATATAGTAGGTCATACGGTGCTAAGTGTTGTGGAGAATAATAGAGCTAAGTTTGGAAGGGGGGGGACTGCAGTTTTAAAGAGATGGGCAGAGACAGCTTCACAGATGGTGACCATGGAGTCACCTACAGGAGTGGAGAGGGTGAGGTTTGGAGAAATTTGGGAAAGGAATGTTTTTGGATGAGAAGCACATCTAAAAGGCATGAGGTGGGAGTATGGTGGTATGTTTGAGGAAGAGCAAGAGGCTGGTGTGGAACAGGGGTCAGGGAGAGGGATGAGCAGAAGTCCTGAAGGAGTCTGAGTCAGGTCAGGGCCAGTCTCGCACATCCCCTGAGTAAGAGGAGGTTACATTGGAAAGTGTGCATCAGAGGAATGTTATGACTCTGATTTACACCTTAACAAGATCGCTCTGACAGTCGTGTGGAGAGTAGACTGTTGGAAGTTGGGGCAAAAGCAGGGAGACCCAGGTAGGAGGCTGTTGTTGTTCAGGCCCTGGCTTGGATCAGGTTGGTGTCAGTGAAGACTGTGAGAAGTGGTTAGATTCTAGATATGATTTGAAGTTATAATCAATAGTATTTGCTCTCGAAAAGGTGATGATAGAGAAAGAGACTATCCTGGCAACAATCTGTTGGTAGACAAGTAAGTGCTTTTGTAGAGGTTATTGTTAACTGTCAGGTAACAGCTCTGGAGAAGACCCCCTTATTCATAAGATGGAGTGCTAAAGGACTCCAAGTGTGCATCTCATTCAGATCTGCACTGTGAGGTAAAGGATGCTGTTTAATTCTGCATATGAGGAAAATGAAATTTGAAGGGCTAAACCTAGGACTCCTTTAGTTGAAAGTGATAGAAATTCAATTACACGCTTTTTCTTTTCTCAAGATGGGTTATCAGTGTGTTTTAAAGAAGGGAGACTAGAGCCTGAGACTCAGATACCATCAGGTCTCTCTCTCTCTATCCGTTTCTGAGCCTTTCTGCATTGCCATCGTCCTTCTCAAAAACACCCTGGTGCTGAGGCCACTGCCAGCTCTGGGCTTCAATCCCAACAGTGTTGTGACAGACGGAGAGCAAAAGCTTTCTTCTAACTGGTTTGAAAAGTACCAGAATGACGGCCCCGTTTGGGTCCCTTGCTTAGCACCTCACATCACAGTGAGAGCCTGTGGCTTAGTTCTACTTTCTGGCTCAGCCCAATCACCTTGGGCAGGGCGAGGGGTGGATGTTGGTTAGTTTCCTGTCACGGCCTTAGATTACTATAAGCCTGCTTCCATAAAGTTACAGCCTTGAAAACCCTTGGGGCTCATCTACTTTGTCCTATAAGGTTGTTTTGATTTGGAATTCACTCAGCATATGACCACAAGGGTTTGGGGTCGGATTTAAAGAGGTGACATACATGGCAGTTCCCCAAAAGCTCATTAAATCATTTGTATTTGTTTATAAAGTGATAGTGTCAGTCAGAAGAGGTGGCAAAGACCATCATCTGGTGGTTGGAAATGTTGGTCCCCTTTCTCAACTCAAGCTGCGAGGGAACTCTCTGACTTTGTCTTTCAGCATCCGTTCTTCCTTTTTCTCGTAGCAGCATCTGAATCTTTGGTGAGGAATCGGTCCTTCTCTCACTAGTGGACATTCAGCTCAGGCTTGGCCTGGGTAATAGGATGTCAGCCTCCGTGGAGCTAGTGAGTTTCGCTTCCGGCACTCCTCCTGGAATCACAACCCTTTCCAATGGGCTTGTTTCCTTCGGCTCCTTGAAGCCTGTCAGGGCTGAGGGGCATGGTTGGCAAGAACTGACCTGAGAATGAATGATGCTGCCTCGGAGGAGAATAGAGTTGCGTGGCTTTTGGATTTAGCCTGGTCTGAAATTAGTGTGTGCATGACTGAATGCTTTCCAAAAAATAGCTCTTCTTTTTAAAAGAAAGCAATCAAACTATGTTTTTATAGTAAGTGAGTGATATTGGAGCAGAGTGGAGGCTATCTTCATGTCCAGTGATATAAAACCCAGACCCTTGTTTTATCTCCATTCTGACCACTACTACCCTCGTTTTAGAATCACCAGCTCTCTCAGACTTGCAGTAATCTCCCAAATGTTCTCACTGCCTGTGAGATTCACATTCATTCCAATCTTGCCTTTGATATGACCTTGGTGAAATGCAAATCTGTTCAAACTGCTCCTTGGCATAAAGCCTCTCAGTGACTCCTGGCTGAAATGTACGCTCGGCCTCCCTATTCATCCTTGTCTTTTGTCCCTTCACCCCTTACCTTACTGCCGCCATACAGAGTTCCCCAAGCGTGCAGTGCTCTTTCATGTTCGGTGCCTCTCCCCATGCTACTTTCTGTGGCTGGAATGCCCTTTGCACTACCCTGCTCTGCATTTCCTTCTTCCTTGGCTGAGCTGTGCCCCTCCTCCTTTATGCCATCACATTGCCCTGTCTGTGAGGCTTTTTGTCAGCTTTAGTTCCTCTTCCATATTAGACTTGGAATTGCAAGTAGTCTGTTCACATTGTGTGCTCCTACCAGGCAGGCACTGTTCCATCAATTGTGTGGGCACCACAGGAAGTAAAAACAGGCAATATTCCTACATCCGGAAAGTTCCTCTACTGAAGGGAAGCAGACAGTAAGCAAATATATCAATGATAAGTGCTCTAGATATAAATCATGTAAGGTAACAAGAAGATAGAGCTTTTATTCCCTTGAATTGAAAAAGGAAGACGTTATCAGTGCATTAGAAAGAACCTGGAGCACAGTGGGTTAAACATCAGGCTGTTAGCCACAACTACCGGCCGTAAAAGCAGGAAAAGAATGAGGCTCTGATACTGTAAAGGTTTTCCATCCTAGAAACAGTTCTACTCTGTCCTATAAGGTTGGAATCCATGTGACGGCATTGAGTGTGAATGAGAGCATAGAGTTCAGTCTTCTCATCTTGTTACTCTGCTGGTACTTGTAGGTGAGAAGTGTTCTTTTCTTTGTGGATGTCAGGGGAGGCATCTCTACTATGGTGACATTTGAACAGAGATTTGACTAAAGTAAAGGAGCTAGTAAAGGACTTCTCAGAGGAGAGTTTTCAGTTACTGTGGAGCATACGTTCCCAAACTTATTTGGGTTACTGCCCCCTTTTCAAAAAAAATTACTCAGGACCTCCCTTGGCAATGAAAAACTTTTGCACTATAACCCATAATCAGTGATAAAGTGTAGGTACCCGCTTTTGCAGCACACCCCTCCCAAATTGTTCCAGCACCTCCCAGGGGGTGGTATCGCCCAGCTGGGAAACTTGCTGTAGAGTGTTCGGGACTGGGATGGAATGACATGGGGAACGCTCATTACGTTAGAATGAACTAATGAAAAGTTGATGAGTAGGCTTAGCTTGATTTCTATGTGGCAGTAGCTCTTTGGGAATTTTCATGAACTCTTCAAAGAACATTCGTTTTGTATACCTGCATCTTTAAAGTCCAGGGATAGTGAACATTCCTGTGGTGCATGGAGACATGGCCTCACTTTCTGTTTTAGTCAGCTCTGCTTAGATTGGTATTTGTATGCTCAGCATACCTGGTTATCTTGTGGATCTGAGTTCCTTTTGGTGTAATTTTATTTTTTAATCAGTTGGCTCACTATTAGGAGTGAATGAATCATTTGTAATTCTGCATAGGCCACCTTGGAGGAATGTTCTTTGATAAATAATTTGGTTAAATGTAGTGGGATATAGATTTCACTTTTTGACAGTATATTCCATATATGTGTTTTACAACATTATTATGGATCTTTGTTACAAACAATATCATCTCTTTGCTCGGTTCATCTTTGGCATTTGGAGAACAAAAAGATTAAGGCCAATGTCTAGGGGGTCCAGTGACCACTCAGGTCCAGCTCCTAGAATGGCTGCAATTTTCCATAAGAAGTTAACCCTAGTAGGCTCATTCTGGACCAGGACTCTCTCTAAAAGGTTTACAGAACCTAAAACCAAGTTTTGATTGTATGCAGAGGGAACTAAGTCTGAAAGAAAAGCAGGTGCCAGTTTACTTATGTATAATGCCAATGCAAACTTCCACAGGGACTCAAGCATTTCACCATGCAGCCAGAGCCGCCTTCCTTTGTAAACAAAGTCAGAATATAACCAGAAGGCTGTTCCATGAACTCTGGAACTAAAACAAGTGGGGTTTGTTGGGGGTGGGGGAGAATTGGGATCCTGTTTGATAACCTTGTCTGGTTAGCATATTGAGATGAGCCACTTTCTTACACATATTCAAAACTGAAAAACAACTCACGGCCATCACCTCCATTCTGACTCTCAGTGACGCTATAGGGTATAATAAAACTGCTCCTCTGAATTTCTGACCCTGTAACTCTTTGTGGGAGTAGAAAGCCCCATCTTTCTCAAGCAGAGTAGTTAGTGGTTTTGAACTGTTGACCTTGCAGTTAGCAGCCCAGTGCAAAGCCACTATCACCAGGCCTCCTCCCACATATACAAGAGAGCTTTAAAAAGTTTAAAAAATAATGGAATTTTTCTACAACCTTTTTTAAGTCCAGTAGTACCGTATATACTCGATATTTGCCAACCCAAATATCAGCCTAATTTTACCACAAAAATGGCATTTAAAATGTGGTGAAAAACTCGACTTATACACTAGTATATATGGTATATATTAAAGAAATGAAATTA